GTAGTGGCTGAGTAGAGTACATTTATTTTATCATATGAAACTTTTCAATGGTTTAAGAGCATATTCAGACAAAAATTTGAATTCAATTCCTATTCTTATACAAGACAATCAATCAAAGTGTATAATACAAATGAATACATAAATAGTTGCCCCTATGTCACTGACTGAGTCACCTTAATTTGTAAGCACAACTCTTCCAGTCTAGTTCTCAACATCTCAGGGAGTTGATAGTCTTTGAGTTGCCTTTCTTGGTAAGTTGTAAACAAGTGAAAACACTTGCCTGGCTGAACCCTGTATAAAAAACCAAGTGAGAAGTGGGATAATAATTCATCAAAATCTTTTTATATTGATACCATTTTGGATTTATATTCAATTCATCTTTAAACCACTGCACTAGAATTTATCAAACATACTCCCACACATACAAGTATTTCCAATGCTGTCATGCACATGAATTCAGACACAAACAAATACTTCTGATGCAAAAATGCTATTACCTGCCAGCTCGCCCCCTTCGCTGTCTCGCATTAGCCTTGCTGACCCACTCTGGTAACAGAGTTGCCACATTGGATTGAGCATTGAAGTTACTCAGCTTGATTTTCCCAGCGTCTATCACAAAAACAACATCATCTATCGTGATGCTGGCAATGTGAAAATAAAAGAAAAGGATCTCAGTTACTCTTAAAGGTCTGTTTTCTCAGATAGAGTTACTTTTTATTCTAGGCAAAGGGAGGGGGGAGTGAAGACTTCATAAAGCCTCTAATCCTAATCAAAATATACTAGTCTTTAGAGGAAACATACTGAGGAAACACTACATCAGTCTTTTTGGTCAAATTTCTGTTCTGACAAAATCTGACCTGACAAAAAATAAAAAAATCATGGTTATAACTGGAGACTGAACTGTATATGCTGCAAATAATTCAGATTATAGCACATCAACTGAAATCCCAAGCAGCTGTCGCATACCTTGTTTCAGCAATATTTGTGGCGATAATGATCTTTCTGACACCAGGGGGCGGGCGCTCAAACACCTGTCGCTGGTTCACTGTAGGCATCATAGAGTGGAGAGGTATAATCCTGAATGAATCTGTAAAAATATAAATTAACCCGTAAGTTTGCTATGACTTTCAAAGACAACAAGACAAATTACTAATATTCTGGGTACAACTGGTTAAGTGGCAAAAGGGGGTATGAAACAATCCAAAATTGAAAATGACAACTATGTTGTCAAACTTGGCCGACTAAACTGACTGTAATTGAATAGCTCAATCTACACTGCTCAACCATACTGTGAACTCATGGTGATACGTTGTACTTAATATTTCATCAGACTATCAGGGGCGGATTTAGGCCATCTTCTGGGTCTTCCGGAAGACGGTCAGATTTTCAAGTTTATATTGATGGGTATGTAATTTTTTTCTGTCAGAAGACGGTCAAAAATGGAGGATGGATCGATAAATATAATTCGAAACCTGTCAGAAAATATCTCTCGATCCGCCCCTGACTATTGTAAACTATTAGAGTTTTATACTTCTAGCTTGCAAAATTTCCTAGCTCAATCAGTTTTTATTGTCCAATAAAAGAAACATTGTTATTTTACAGTAGTTCCAATATGATGAACTTAAAGTTTCTATCAAAATGCTTGTATGAGGTAAATTTGTCACATTATTAAGGATGGAAGTTAAAATAAAAATAGAACTGCTAACAAGAAGTTTCTTAACATAAGCATCATAAGAATATTTTTCTAGCAGTATGGATTAGTGTTCTTTTTTATAATTTACAAATCATACTAATTTCTCCATTTTATAAAAGTGTTTGTCTGGCAGACTAAACCTAATTTGCACATTATTTCATGTGTCACATGACTACCATAATATCAATGAGTTATATACCACAATGTCAGATGGGATTATGTGGACTAGTTACCTGTTTTAAACATAAAGTTTGCAGTGAGAACTTCATTGAGTTTCTTGATGTCTTCCCACCCTGGCAAGAACACCAGTATGGCACCATCCTGAATCATATATATTGAATTTGTCAAGGAATAAGACCCATAAACAAGGTTTACTTAAATGTATCCCTTGGCACTTGTCTTGTAGCAGTAATAATATTTATAGCAATAGAAACTGAGACGAAAAATGATAAAAATGTTGACATGGTTGCATTAAATCTGTACCAAGATCAAAGTGCCTCCTAAGTTTTGGTAAAAAAATATCATTAACTTTATAAACAGACAAAACGATTTTTGAAAAACTTCTTGTTAATGTTTCCTTTTCTTTCTTTTTTTTTTTTTTTGACAGGCAATGAAAAAACCTATTTCTCCATGTTAAGTAGTGGTCATGATCCCAGTACAATATCTGCTTACTCACATCACTAGTCTTGATGATATATTTGATCAACTGCTCTATCAACATAACGTCTATCTTGTCATAGTCCATTGTTCTCAGGGTCTGTAGAGTATCAGGGGAATACCTGAAAAATTAGTACTAAGTTATGAAGTGAATTTTTTTATTGAAATGAACATCACGCATTTAGACCTTCTGTGGCCAAAAGTATTCAAAAATAAGTTTTCTGTGAGAAAATGATATTAAATATACAATGTGCTGACTTGAGAGAGAGAGAGAGAGAGAGTGAGTCTTACTTGTGACGTATGGTCGAAATCCATTCATTAAGCAGCCACTCTTCTTCTTCTTTCTGTGCTAACATCTCTCTTTTCCTCCTCCCAAAGATTCTCCTCTGTGGTTTGTTAGAAGTGTTCTCGGGTGGGGAATATCTGAAAGAAGAAATAAAGAACCTTTTTATACAAAGACATACAAAATTGCTTTGTAATTCAGGCATAGGAACACCTGGTTCATTGTGGCAGAATCTTTTTACCAGATTCTAAGTTCAATATTATGCCTAGAAAATCAAACTCTGAGATAGGAAACCCAATAAGGAAATGGGGGAAAAACATCCTTAACAAACATGAGACATTAGTTTTTAAGAGAATAAAAAAGAGTTATCTTAACATATGGCAAAAGACATTATCTTTTAGGGGCATATTGCATTGCAAAAAAATTACAAACCTTATTGTTTCAATGACATCCTCCAGATAAATCTCTTCTACAGGGTATGTGAATCCTGGTATGTGAATCATAGGGCATCCGCCTGAAAAATGTGTATCACATTAAAAAATTGAAAATGACAACTAGAGACAACAAAATTGCTTACTATGTGATAGCATGGTTTCTTGAATTTTTTTACCACTTGGATGATAAACCTTTTCCTGTACATTTAAAAAAAAAACAGATTGAAAATAACAATTATTAATTTTTAACAAAATTGCACACTTGAACTCTGAGCACTACTCTGTGCTAATTTTTGTTAATTTTAAATGTTTAGTAATAATGAGAGAGAGAGAGAGAGAGAGAGAGAGATAAGGAGATAGAAAATTACCAAAATACTCTGAAAACTGTTCAGCATTCAATGTGGCACTCATTAAAACTACTTTGAGGTCTTTCCTTCTCTTAATGAGATCTTTAAGTATAATCATTAAGAAATCTGACATCAAGTCTCTCTCATGGATCTCGTCCAAAATTACATGGCTGGTCTTTGACATATATCTGAAGTAAAGATATGATTATCAAGATATACTTGTAAACAAGACATTATATCATGGATAGCTTAAGATGTTCATCTTTACCAAGTTTTAGAAGCTATGAAGTGCAGAAATATTTAAAGTTCCAAAACTGAGAGCTTTCTTAGAATTACAATTTTTAGTGTCATAAATGTTTTATTCAACTTTTGGTTGCAAAAAATATCATCATTTTTATTGAAAAAAAAAAAAAAAAAATGAAAAGCCACACTTTCAAAATCATAAGCTGAAATGATATTTTAGAACTAAAAAGTTACAAATATCTTCAAAGCAACATTTTAACATGTTTAAGAAAATATTAATAGTAAGAAAAGGTAATCTATAAACAAATTTACATACGGATCACTCTCCAGGTACTTTAGTAAAATACCAGTGGTACAGAATAATATGGAACCCTGAGGGCGAGGAAGTTTCCTGAAAAAACAAAATTATTTTGTACAATTACAAATTATTTTACTTTGAATTTTAAAAAATTCCACAGTGAAAAAATTACCAATGTCTGACTAACTATCACAAAAGTTCAGTCACATTAAAAATCCGTTTTGATATTGTTTTTGATGTTGTCTTAGATTAGTTGTAATAAATCCATGAGCCCACTCATTTGAATATTCTGTATCAAAACACCCACTACTGCAGTGACATTCTGAATAATGTTCCATCTTATTAAAGACAATACTCACGAATCCAGTCGTATGCTGTAACCCACACTTTGAGAGCCACACGGATCATCCCTCTCCTGGGCAACACGCTCCGCAACCTGAAAACATCCAAACACCATCTTAATCTTTTCTGGAAAATTTTGAAATCAAATTGTTCCCTGGTATCTTTCTCAGACTACCTCATATTTTGGTAACATTAAATCGTCCATGTGATCTGAAAAGAAATCTTAACCCTTGTTTCCATAATACAGAACTGACACAATTTTCAAATAATCTACAATAATAAGGAATAAATAAGGAATCTGTGCCAATCATTTTTTCTTATCAACCAGCCCTTTGAGCCATCTGAATCTATGACTTTTGTGGCTCAATGGAGAAACAGTATCCACTACCTGAACAAATTTATGAAATTTAACTGACCCAGGTTCAATTTTACTGGCATTTGACGTGGGTCGGTGATTAATATTGGGGCCTCTTTTAGACTGTCCATTTGTTCAGAAATTTCACATTCATACTCACTGATATGGCACTTATTCTCCTTGGCTGGGTACACACCACCCTGCAGAGAGACCCCTTGTTGTTTTCTATATAGTGGTCAAGGAGAAACTGGGACACCTACAATAACATATTATTATTATTATTATTATATTACATTACAAGAAACAAAAATAAATAAATAAATATAACATAGATTGAAATAGTTTATTGGTAAAGGATTAAATATGTAATATAATTACAGTCACTTTACTTTTTTATAGTGCTGCATATATTTCTCTATAATTTTTTTTCAGCAGTTGCCAATGTGCATATTATGTGTGTATATTACAACTGACAAATAAGACAAAAACCTACTGTTGTTAAACAAGGAACTGACTCTAACTTCTAATAGTTATTTTAGACAATCTTACCTGAGTTGTTTTGCCACAGCCTGTCTCTCCACTGATTACTACAACTTGGTTTTTTTCTATGACATCCACTATTTCCTGGAACATAACAGAATATTTAACTTCGAACCATTAGACCTTCTGCTCTTAGTAATAATAAATGATCATATATCAGGGACAAAAAGTAAAAGAAAGTTGAGCAAATGAAAAAGTAGCTGTCACAAAAATTTATTTCATTACACATTCACCATTATATGATACCAGTTTTAGCTTTCAAAGGTTTTAGCTCAAATTTTTTTGGTATACTGATCCATTTATTTCTCACACTGACCAGTTCACATGACACTGACCAGCAAGCATTCTGTCCCCCTAAGAAAACTACTAGACAGAAATCTAAAAATAATGGTCAATTAATCAAAATCAACAAATTTCAATTATTTTGATGGGCCAAGTGACTTCCAACTGTCAATTGTCAAAAATCTAAAAATAATGGATAATAAATCAAAATCAATAAATTTCAGTTATTTTAATGGACCAAATAGCTTCCAACTGTCAATGGTCTCTTTGGTGAATGTCAAAGACAGTACAAAGCACAAAAAAAATTTAAAGAAAAAAAAAATCAACTTTGTTTTGTTTTTATTTGCATTTTAAGCATAACAACCCACCTTCCTCATCCCATAGCTTGGCAGCTGGGACCGAAACTTCTGCATTTCAATATATCTGGTGCTTTGTTCTTTCTTTGCCAGTTCATTTCTGTACTGAGAATCCATGGCTGCATTCCTCTCATATGCAAGGGCTCCATGAACAGAACCTGCCATTAAAATGGACATTTGTCATGAAAAAGGATTCTCTAAGAATTACAAAGGCAATTTAGTTTCCTATTATCAAAATCTGAGTTTCATGATTTGGTGCCTTGTACGACAGTTTCTTTAAACTAATCAATTAAGTGACACCTGAAATATAAAAAACGAAAGGCTTGCTTTAACTGATCACTAATCTGGGCTTAATTTACAAAGTCAGGTTAAGTCTTCTGAGATCCAAGATCCCAAGTGAAGACCAGGACTTGATGACTGTCATTCTGTCAAAGTTTTTCTTTTAAATTAGAGATCCAGGTTACTTGGTAGATTGAATGAAAATAACAATGTCAAAGAGATTTTTGACTATTCAAGGAGCTGTCTTAACCCTACCGCTAAATATATCCCCCCTCTTCTTATGCTGCAAGTATTCCAGAACAAATTCATTTGTTTCCTCATGATGCTTAAAGACTTCAGTTAAATTTGTCACTTCATCATCATCAGCATCATCATCCCCGGGTTCAGTGCTGGTAGCTGAACTGGGACCAGGGGCAGAAGCAGAAGCAGGGCGAGACGAGCTAGCTTGGTCCAACCCTGGAATATCAAAAAGAAGAGGAAGAAAAAAAGTAGAAGTTTAGTCTGGTTCTTATATAATTTACCCTATTCTGATTCTGAATGGGTGGAGACATTCTTACCTCCCTGGAGAGGATTGGGTTTTTTTCCCAGAAAAATGAAATGTCAGAATTTAGCTTTCTTTATGATAAAAAATATAGAAATATGTATTGAACATTTAATGTAAAATGTGATACAGTTGGGTGAAAAAGGGATATGTAGATATACAAACTGTTTGATTTTAATTTTCGAATCCACCATTGTTCACAGTTAAAACCATTCAAATGTGCTATGCTGTTGGTAGTTTTCAACATACCATACAGATTTGATGCTTCCTCAGTCATGTCTGTATGCCAAGAAGTGGACTCTAGATCTTTCATCTGAATATCCTCAGCGTCTGGATCATCAAAGTAGTCTCTGCTAGTGGCGCCACCTATGGGATCCTCTATCTGGTCAGCTTCCCGAGTAATGTCAGTGGGATCTCTGTAGGACCGTGATGGCTGTGGGGGTATATTGTCTCTTGACTGTATTCTGTGGAGAAGGTTTGTGATGTGGCGTTCACGACCCTCATCTAGATGTACTTCTTGCCTCTGAGAATAGAAGAAGTTCTATTTCACTCTCAGCAGTAATGCCTTTACATTTGTTGATGTATTTCTTTCTTCTTTTTTTATTAAAAAGGGATTTTCAGTGTGTTCCCATTTTCAATCTGAATTCAATTTTTGCAAGTAAGAAACAAATGTAAACACTTATTTTTAAAAAGACAATCAAAGAAAACTCTACTTACACTGTTTTTTGCTTTGGCTTTACTCCTCTGGGCAAACCACATTCCTATTTCTCTGCCTCTAAGTCCAGCTGGGGGTCCTCCCCTTCCTCTCCTCCCTCCTCCTCTCCCCGAGTATTCAGAACCACCTCTGTTGTCATGGTGACCATGCTGTGCATCCTCCCTGTTCCCAGAGATGGCTCCATCTTCTGTCTTATAATACTTTTTGTTTCTATTGCCATAGCCTCCAGAACTATAGTTTCTGTTGCCACGGCCTCTATATCCTCCACCTCTGCCACCTCTTCTTCCTCGCCAAGAGCCCTCCTCCCTGTATCCATGGCTACTGTTGTCATGGCTATGGTAGCCTTCACCTCGCCAAGAGTCCTTGCCACTCATGTCTGATAATGATCAACAGAAAGGTTAAAAGACTAACGACGGGTGCACAAATACATGTATTTTCTTCATAGAAATTCTCAATACAATTTTGCAAGGAAATTGTCATAACATAGCATGTGAGGTGAAAAACTGCAACGAGTGGACAAAGAAAAATGCTGCACAAGTACCATTTTGCATGCTATTCAAGTTTTGAACTTAAGGGCATTTCATCAAAATGCTGGACTCTCTCATTTAACATGTAATAATTCCCTGGGTTTTGGATGGGATAAATATTTTAAATCAACCAAACAAATGTTTTCTATAGAACAGGACCTGTGCTTCCACATTTTAATTAAGTTCTGGTTACAATGTGTTGCCTATACTACAGCTAGGTACATGTACATTGTATAGCAACTGACAGTATTGTGTACAGGGTGCAGCATACTGATCTAGTGTGTAAACGTGGTTTAATTCATACTGAATCCAACAATGACTCAGTTTTACCTCAGTTTTCAGTCTTACATGCTAGATGCCCTTACCGCGGTAATTAAGGCAGAAAACTGAGGTGAAGCAAGACATTAAAGGCTCATGCAACTTTGGAATACTGTACCTAATAATGTGTCAGAGAAACAGGCAGATGCTCTTCCGGGAAACCGAAAAACTCTTCTTAGCCCAGTTCTAAGTGCATTCATTTAAACAAAAAAAAATCAATCATTCACTGTATACATAGTACATATACTATATAGTATATAGTACCCTTGTTTGTGCATCAACGACCGAAGATGAAATTTTACACACGTGAAACTAAACCGGAAGTGTAGTGCCTGTCTAACGTCCTTGACCTTTGTCTACTGCGCAAGATGGAGTCGCTGGAGAAGGCGCTGCTTCGTGGCGATTTAAATTAAACACTTATGTGCCCGGATTGTCACAATAGCAGCGGCCTTTGATTAACCACACTAAGGTAAGCTTTTCGTGTGTTTTTTCACGGGATATGAAGGTAAGAAGTTTGGAAAACATGGTCATTTTATCACTCGAGCGGCAATCGCCGTGCCAACTCGACACTGAGCGTGGACGATGGAATTTTGACAAACAAAACTGCAGCTATTTAAACACAGTAAAGTGACATTTGTTAAATGAAGTCTGAACAAGTTTTACTTGATTTGAAGGCTGGTTGCGTAAGGATTTAAGAATTTGACAAAGAGTAAGATAAACGGCGTTCAACTTCAACTTTTTCCCCTTTTTTATAGAAAAAAATAAATAAATAAAATTAGATCACACCGACATCACGTCAATTGAACTATAATTCCATAGTAAGATAGATTAAACGGAGAAATACTTATTACTGCTTAAGGTTCAATGCTGGAAAAACCTAACCATGTCACGATGTGTGGTTGTGGTTTATTTTTTACTTAGATACAGATGTCGTTCTTGTTGCTGTAGCACCTCTTCCAATATGAAGTGCAATATAAATGTCATCCAGACTATATATATATATATATATATATATTCTAGTAGATCATCGCATATGCCCAATAAATTCATCACCAGTAATATATGTACAGTTATCATTGTTTCTGTTAAATATATTCAAAGCATTAAAAGGCTCCCATGTGACAGACTGCATTTCTATTTTTCTTCTGTTAAAGGGATAATAACTCTTCGTATGAGATCTATATTTCACAATAAAAACATTGTGAATAACTCATAGAAATATAATATATTCTGTTTTACCACAAAAACAGCAGTTATAGCTATTATTCTGATATGTGAGCTTGTCTTTAGACCACGTGACCTCCATTGATGGCTATACTCTGTTAAAATCTCTTAAGAGATTTTAACAAAAAACCAAACTTTTTAGAAAAAAACCAGGGACTAAATTTGAAAGTAAAAATGGATTCATTAACCATTGGTAAGTATGGGAAAATTGTTGTTTACTCCAGGAAAATTCATTTTTTGACAGAAACGAAGAGTTATTATCACTTTAAGTAATAATATCAGTCTCTGACAGGTTACACTAAGGTGTTGAGTCACATTTTTATTATTCAAATTAAAAGTGAATTTGATACAAAATATGAGCTGGTTTGATCAGATTTTGTTTCCCATATTAATACCAATTAAAATTGTGAATTGTTGAAAGATAAAAAGGTAAAGGTAAAGATAACTTGGATTTGTTTTCATTCTCAACTTCACTTGTAATAATATTCGACCAGATTGATCTCTCTCTCTCTCTCTCTCTCTCTCTCTCTCTCTCTCTCTCTCTCTCTCTTCATCTGTCTCTATTAGTAACAAAACCTTAGTTAACAGAGATAGGAATGGCATGTCATTAATATTGTACTGTACATGGACAATCCCATATCATATGGCATATTAATTTTTAATACTAGTATGCTTCACATCTGAGGGCCAGCAGAACCATATATATTTAATCAGTTTTTATAGGATCAGTGTTTGTTCTCATGAGTTGACAAATTTTATTACTACTTTTATATGTAATTATGCCATTGTGTATTCTTCTGTGCTTTAAACATTTTATTGATTTTGATCTTTTTTAAAACCTGTATATATTTGATTGCTTTGAAAAAAAAAAGACAAAATAAGTTAGATACCCATATATTCATGCATTTTATATACATTTTATTGTTATTTTTTGACAACTAACTTGGTACTTATATCTTGCAAGGTGTGACCCAGCTAAAGTAAATACGTATTAAATAAAAAAAAATTATAAGAAATCTTTTTTAATGCCAGTAATGAATTTCATTGTAAATGGAGGATTAATGGACAATGAAACATACTTTTACTTTTTTAGACTAAGGTGAATGTATAACACATCAGGAGGATAAGCGTTTTCAAGGCACTTTCAAATTGACATCCCATTAATTTTCATCATTATCCAGTGCCCTCTATAAATATGGCAACAGTATGACAGTAGAGGAGAGCCGTAAACGCACAGCTTCATCATCTGAATTTTACCCTGAAGGGGGGGAGGAGGAAACTTTGGAACTTTACAGAGAAAGAAACGGTGGTGGCGGAAACCACCACCACCACGTGACCCACATGAGCGACATGCCCTCAGATTTGGAGAAAGGTGGTCGACTAAACAAGGCCCATGTTGTCCTGGAGGAAAAAGAGGGGCTGTTTAACCCCCGTGCCATGCTGTTCCTTATACTGTGGTATCTATTCAGTGCTGGGACATTATTTCTTAATAAACACATTTTGACAACACTTAAAGGAGACCCAACTCTGTTAAGTAAGTAATGGGGCATAAGCTAGTAAGTTAACAAGTTATTACATTCTGTTCAAACAAAAGTCATCGATTTTATTTCCTCCAAAAATTTTTTTTTATAATTTGCAAAAAAGATTGAGTTCTGTTAAATAGGATATTAAATCGGGTTCAAAACAAATATAATTAATTGTTTTCTTAACAGAATAGTCATGATAAACATTCATTAAGTATTAAGTCTGATGATGGGAGTATGGCTAAACTTGAAAAGTGGGAAGGGGATCCCTTGGTCCTTTTTTATAACCTCTTGTGTTTTTTTAAAATAAGTTTATCAGCTTGTTATTGGTATCAGATCAGATCACAAAATTTGTTTTGTCTCAAAGATACCTTTTAATAAAATAGCCATATTGATATTTGAGTATCACAAAAATAATTATTTTTATTTTGTAACAAAAGAAAATTTGCAATCTTTTGTGTGGTTGTTGCTCAGTGTCAGTTTCCACTATTTCAGGTACAATGCAGATGTTCTGCACAACGTGTCTAGGTTTTCTACAGATGTTTTTACCATTAGGAATGTATAAACCAGTTAAAAGAGAAGGGAAACCTCCAAACTTTTTGAGGAACATGGTACTGGTCGGGTCTATGAGGTTTGTATCAGATCTAGAAAAAGGTATCAGCACTCCTCATTTTTTCTTTTTTTTTTTCATTTTTATTATTCAAAATTTTCAATACAACAGTTTTAATTTGCTTTCATCATAAGCATTTGATTTAGTTTTCAGCAATAGATTTGGTGTCATGTTATTAAACATTTCTTTTATTTATTTATTATTATTATTATTTTTTTTTTGAATGTTAATTTTTAAAAGAAATAACTAAAACAAATTTCAAGAAATAACGTTACAGAGTTAAGAGTAAGAATGTCTTTCACTGTTCACTAAATTAGTGCTTTATTTCATCTTTTCAGATTTAGCACAGTATTGCTAGGCTTGGTTGCCCTGAAGTACGTAGCAGTATCATTTACAGAGACTGTCAAAAGTTCAGCACCCATATTCACAGTGTTAATATCACGGCTTCTTATAGGGGAGACAACGGGGGTGTACGTCCTCATGTCTCTCGTCCCCATTATGGGTGGTCTGGCTCTCTGTAGTGCTTATGAACTGAGTTTTAATATAGAAGGCTTCACTGCTGCTTTAGCCACTAATATAACTGAGTGGTAAGTTGTTTGTTTTTATTAAAAAGAAAATTAAAGGTTTTTATGGACCAATTTTGAAATTGCTTCTATAGAAGTGTAGATAAAAGGGAATGGTTGGTTTGTTTTCAATTTTAAAGTCGTTTATTTATTGGGCTTGAAAGGGTTTTTAATTATGGTAAATTCATTCTGTCTAATCTAAAGAAATTATAATAAAGAGAATTTTCATTATGATTTTTTGTGTCTAATACAGTCACTTGAACAAAAAAAAAAGTTAGGAAAAATAGTTAAGACAAAATTTCATTATTATTTCAGTCTACAAAATGTTTATTCCAAAATGTTAGTCAGTGGAGAAAAATATAGATACACGTAAGTATCTTCTTTTCATCTTGTGATTTGGTGGGTAACTGACAGATAATATGTTTTCATTAAAAAATTGGAATGTTGGAAAGACTTATTGTAACTTCTTTTATTCCGTAACAACATCATTACGACAGAAAACCACCAAGAAGTTAAATTTCATTCCTTTGCAACATAGTTTCCTTTAGATGGCCTATTTTCTTTTGTCGCAAAGTAATGATTTATTATACACGTGACATCTTCATCAGTCTGCAAAGGCATCACTCTTTGTGTTAATGGTGGCACTTATTTAAACACTGCTTCATTTAACTTGTTAATTCGGCTCTTTTCTTTTTTGTTTTTTCTCTCAGCCCAGCAGAGCTACAGTTTTACACCAGTGCAGCCTCGATGGTCGTGCAAATCCCCGTCGGTCTTCTGATGATTGACTTTGAGCACGTCTGGCCGAACCTCACTGCATCCATGGTGACGGCTCTCATCTTAAACGGTGTTTTCTTCCACTTTCAAAGTATATCTGCTTATGTTCTAATGGGGTACATTTCTCCAGTCACACACAGGTGAGAAGATTAATTTGATGGAAAACAATTTAGATGATAAAATTTGGTCAGTGTAACATGCTAAACACCATATATGGTGTCAGAGTTTTTGGCTTTATTACCTTTTGTCTTATATTCTTACAATATGTACTTTTTATTCTATTTATTTATTTATTTATTTATTTATTTATTTATTCATATGCTACATTAACTGCATAAAAGCTTCAATCAATACAAAGTATTACTCGAAGATTTATCATTATTTTACATTACAGACTTTTAAGCAGGAGGAGTTTTGGGGGCAAGATATCTACTGATGCCATTATTTTCATAAGGTCCACTTTCTTCAAATATGCTCCCCCACCCCCTTTAAAATCACTTGGCAGCCAACTCATTACCCCAGTGTATCATTCTTCTGTTCCTTTTTGTTTCAGTGTTGCTAACACTGTGAAGCGAGCATTCCTCATTTGGGCCTCAGTGTTAATCTTTGGCAATGCAGTCACATTCCTCAGTGGCCTGGGCACAGTGACAGTGACCATTGGTGTCATTTTATACAATAAGGCACGAGAATACGACCAGATCCGTCACGAGATGGCTGTAACATATGGTGATAAGGAAATGACACAAGCATAATATCCATTACATTAGAGGCAGTTGGGGCTATCTAGGTTAGCTAGTTTTACAGTGCACACGAATGGGACAGAAAATTACTTAAATGTTTTATAGTTCCAAGTGATAAAGGAAATACCTGAGCATACTATAAGAAGGTTTCAGCAAATGGCTACATGTGTTGCTTGAACTATGAATCTACCTGTGTCAACCCTGTATCATGTATTTGCAAGCTTTAAAAATTCTAAAACATCTTCTCTCTATGGATCAGTACAGGTCTGTCCATATGCTTTTTGTAAGATATACATTGTGCAAAAATGTACAAGACCCATGTGAAGTTATTTGTAACAAGTACCGGGCAACTCCAAATGAGCTGATGCTGTCTTATAATTGCATAGTAATCTGTAGCACATTGAACCACAAAATTCACTTAGTACAATTTAATATATATGCTATCCATAATGCTGATTAAATTTTAAAGTATTGCGTGGGGCATTAACATTTTTGCTCACTGTAAAAATGTGGCTTTAATGTGTCACTTGAATGACACAGCTGTGTGCCATATGCTGCATGCATACATGTAGGAAGTGTTCTTGGAACAATCTTCTATGGGGACCACAGATCTGAGCCAAAGGGTTTCCTATCTATAGGGGTCACATTGATAGTGCAAGGGGTCCATTTTACAAGTATTTAGAATTGGAATCTTAGAAAAAATAAAACATAATTATGATTCTTATTGAATTGAATTTAAATTACTTGTGATCTCACTATTAAAGTTAATCAGTTTGTATGATTCATGGTGAGGATATTAGATATAAAAATAACACACTGAAATGGTAGAGATGCCTGTCCTCTTGTTTATATGTAATATACCTCATAATGAAATGTTAGCCAGATCGTCAGATAGGTCAATCAATATGTTGTAAGGATATTTAATTTGTAGATTAAGAAAGGCTTTATTATACTGATTTGCTGTGAAAACTTGTCAAGATAAGGGTGTAGTATGTTCCATTTATATTGAAAAACCTCACTCTGTTATAGAACCACTTTGGCAATATGCATATATTCATTGTTAATCTACATAAATTAGTTAAAAGGAATTTAATTAGGATGTTGAGTGTTTTCCTGACCAGACTAAAAAAAAAGGAAAAATCCAGTCACTACTTTAAGAACACATTGTTAGGTAAAAAGAAAAAAATTAGGATTATCAAATTATTTTTTTTCAACAGGGCTGACTTAGGGCTGACACTGAAACTTAGGCATGGCCTTGTTTGTAATTTAGAGACTGGTATTTGAAAATTGTAAAATCTTTTTATGAAAGCAAAATGCCCAGTCATCTCCTCAAAGGATTATTTTAGAATTTCCCCTTTACCATTATGTTGTGCCAAGTATTGACATTTTTATCACAATCTTCTACTTGCATCAGTGAGAAAGTGAGCAGAAATTTCCAGCAATCTGTGAAAGGTTAAAAATAATTTTTAAATGCATCAATCTGCTTTGTAATGCTTGAGTGAAACATTCAATTAAAAGGAATGCATAAAAGGTATTGGGGTAGGTCAGGGAAGTTATTGAGGTATAAAGCATGCCCCATACATTTAATTTGAATAAATTACTTCCTGGAGTAATGTGACAGCTTTTTAAAAGTGAAAATGGAGCCAGGTACGGTTTATTATCCACACTGCCTCACAACAAATTAATCGAGTCCCAATGAAATGTTGCCACTTACACATTATTCACATAAATTTGGTTTGCAGAGCAAAATAAACATGGGTTTTTAATCTTTGAAAAATCCCATAATTTATGAAGATTATGTGTGTGTGAGATACAGAGAATGAGAGTTATACAATACTGATAAATATGTTAGTTGAAGCAAAAGGTATACTGTATGGGTTTGAAAATTTCCCAAAGTCGTATTTTCTATCACTACCTTGCAAAGATACATCTTTCATATTTTAGAAGTTAAAAACTACAAAACCCCTTTTATAAAATTTCCAATAGTTCCTTCTGAAATGTACAAGAAGACATGGTTTTCTAAATGACTGGCCAGTAATTTCGAAATAAATCATTAAATTAAAAATGGGGGAAAAAAAACAATGAATCCAAGGCAGGAACAGGTCAAGAAATGATTCACGAGTACTAGAAAATTGCTTTTATCTCGGAGGAGAGTTCTTGTTGGTGGGTAATTCCCATTTAGTGTGCCTTAAACCATAACATCTTTAGATAAATTTAAATAAATTGCATGCTTTGGCATGTTGCCAGACTGGCTTCAACCAGTTATGAATGGATCATGATTAGTATTGCAATAGCTACAGATGTATTTATTTATAAGCCTCGTCAGATTATTCAACATCTTCTCCTCTGTTGTTTCTTTTCTTTTCAGGTTCTTTAGATAGAGATTTGTCCCATATTTGTGTTTGCTAGATTGTTTTAAAGATGCATTCCAGTGTGATGATTTAAAAAAAGAATTGTTCTAGCGTGCAAGGAGTTATGTGTTTTGATTGTTAAGAATGTGGACATCAAGTGTCTTCAGCTCTGAGTGGACAATGAATTTACTACCCTGACATAAATCTGATGTTCAGTTTGCTATTGACTCTCAGCAGATTGATATTCAAAGGGAAATAAGTCACTGTAATGTATTCTTTGCGCTCCCAAATGTTTTGTATTATATCTTGTTGTACTGTTGACCAAAAAGTTTAAAAGGGGGATATATTTGGGAGGATAAACCCAGTTGTACATGATAAGGGGATATCCCAGTTCTTGCTGTGATATACTTCATGTGTGATGTACATATTGATTTATATTAAACATGAAGTCTATTTTTGTGCTGCAAAAAAATTTTTGCAGCAGGAAAACAAAAGTAGAATATTTATTAGTTACTGCTGCAGCTCACTGCTGCAGGCTTTGAGTCACATGGTAAAATCAGGTTTTACATGTATTTACTAAAATCAGGTTAAGTGTCACATTATTAGGATCTTTCACAAACTGGTATATAAATTAATGGGCTGTGTTGGTTGTTGAAAGAGTCATAATCTGAAAAACAGAATTTAAAGCATGTTTTATGTCATTTCACGTGTTTGACAGAAACACAAGGTGGGGTAGGTAGTCGGAGTCGTGACCCAGGCATATGTTTTGCAGGGCTCAAAACTTTTTAAGAATAAAGGGAATGATTGCAATTTGCAAACTGTCTCTTGTTGTAATTTGCTTTCACTGTTGCAGCAGTGTGTGTGTGTGTGCGTGCGTGCGTGTC